GCAATCGCCTCGACTCGAATCGACTGTGGTGTGTGCATGTGTGTGACCTGAGAGCGTGTAATACACGTACACTGTGGGCGCCTGGCCTACAAAGCATATCCTATAGAAAGACCCATAACACGGGTAAGCTCAACCCGTTGAGCGTACATATTGGCTACATCCCATCACCCGAGTGAGTCGTCTGTTGATGTGTATTTCTCTTACATGCTGCAAAGCGAATCCTATAGCAAGAGGCCTAATTCGGGATATGCCGCAGCCTTTACAATGAGACTTGCTACACCCGTTGACGCGAGTGGATTTTCGTCCATCGTGTGTCTCTTCGTCTCTCTTTGATAATTAGACAGAGGGCGGGTGCACGCCTTGCCGACTCGCTCTCGCGGGTTCGTCGCCTCCTCGCAATCCGCGACGCCCGCCGTGCTCTCGTCCGCCCGTCCTCCCCGGCCGCCCCGAAACCGCGTTTAACGGCATGGACGTCGATCGCGGGGTCGACGTGGCACGCGGGTTACGGGAGACAGGCCTCGTGGAATTGTGCCGCCCTCCCCGCGCCACGGCGGAGGCGGGCGGGGTCGCGGAAAGACGTTTTTGAGGAACCGTTTTGGCCCGTGTTGGACCCCCCGCGGCGATTTTGCGTATTAGTAATATAGATTGCCAGAGCATCACTATGCACTTTTGAAAGGGACCTTCATCAACCCTTCCAAACAACTCATCTCAATGCAAATTATATTAGCCTGAGAAACCACAATATCAACACAAAAGCTTCTCTACAAACAAGGCATAGCAGGCTAATTCACAGTCATGATACTACATGTACAGTATGTACACCTACAATAAGGTCTACCAACAACAGTGGTATGTGGGTGTATTGGACTATTGGTTTATGCAAATTTCAAGAAGAGTTGGATAACATGTATGGTTAAATGGTCATCGGATGAATAGAAATACCGTAATGAAAAAAAGGGAAAAAAGAAGAAGTTGTTTTTAATTATTTGATTTTATTTCAGTAATGAAGGAGAGTTTAATAATTTCATATGCCATCTAATACACTTGTAGAAAGAAAAGGAAAAGGGCCTGCAATATTCCTATGGATGAAAAAATGATGTCAAAACATTTTTCAATTTTTTGCTCTCTTTTACATGTACTGTAGTACTGTATGAATTATTTACCTATCCACCCCAATAAATTAATGTACAAATATTGTCCTGATTTCAATAACATTTATTAAAGTATTTTGCATTAATATTTAATTAAAAGTCTACATGTACATGTACTTCATAAATTTGTAATAGCATGATAATTTTATGATTTAAGCAAAGTGCTTGATTTTGATGGGTTGGATGATTTGGATTCAAAATTCATTTAAAGACCAGTACATACATGTATATGTCACACAAAAGTGAATTTATATTTACTTTATTAAAGTATAGCCCCAGTTATACAAAAGAAACAGCGATCTATACAGTAATAATACAGATGATAAAGGATACTGCAAGGTATGTGTTTAGCAAAATATAATACCGGTATCCAAAATTTAGCTTTGCTTGAAGGGTAAATGTTATTACATCCGATGTCATCCAAACAGCGATTTCAAGTCTGAAACGAGTTTGCTGGCATTATGGTTATCCTGAAGAAGATTCTAGAAGGGTTTGCGGGGCAAGGTCCATAGATCTACTGTAGATCTATCCAAATTATTAATATCCCAGGTGATCAAGATAATGAATTATAAATCCAGAATCTAATAGACTTGATGCATGGCTAATGATGGTTTAAAAGTGAACTCTGATTTGATTTTCAAAACTCCCAGCTATACAGTACATTATAGAAACCTCCAGAAGTACCTTTTTTCGGCTGACTATTTTTAATTTTGTATCCCACTAGACAAAGCGATATAATAGCCCTACACATTTATACCGGTACCGGTTAGCAATTAATATTATTTTCAAATTGCTGCATTGCAATGTTGTTTTCATATGGTATGCAGAATGCATGTCTATAATGTAACCTACAATTCTGTACATGTTATTAGCTCTGTTGTACAAAAACAACACAATTAATCTTAAGTTGTAATAAAGCTTAAAGCCCATGCTCAGGTTTAGTAAACCTTTCATTGTTTCAGATTTCTTAGATTTTTTTGAAAAATAGCAAATTAAGATCAACTGTATCTGTGACTTTTACACCTAGACTGGATTTTTTTTCATAAAATGAAAATATTCTATGAAAGAGAGCCATGCAGTCAGCAAGTCTCCAACAACACAACAACTCCTGGGGACTGTGTGTCACATTTCTGCGACTTTGGTGCTTTCTGCAAAACAGAGCTCATTGCATTTTTTGAAATATATTATTATGAGCCCTAATTTGAACTTTTGAACGTCGTCGATTCTCTTGAGGCTTTGACATTCCTCTAACCTTTGTAACTTGATTGTTGAACGTAAAAAAAAAAAATCCAACTTGCTTTTGGAAATGATTTAGAGCACTGAAGCCATGCCGAAAATTCTGTTTTGCTCCCTGGGGCTCTCTAAATTTATTTGTGGAGTTGTACTATTTTTTCGAGAGCTCTTACTTTGAGCTTACTTTGTTATATTTGTTTAAAGTGTGAAAGATAAAAAATTGTTCTTTGCTCCTGTAGCCTACATAATGTACATGTACATACACATTCATGTATGTACTGTACGTACAGTTGTTGATAGCAGTTCACGAGACACTGTGACTGGTTGCACCACGCGTGCTTCAGCTCCAAAGCACTATATTTGATATTCTACACTGACCAAATCCTTAACTTTAGCCCAAAAGTTTCTAAAACCTAATTCAGTAGACCGATTTTGAATAAATTTTAGGCATACTTTTTAAACAAATGCTGTTCTTGACAACCTGAACGCTTGCCCAAGGCTTACCCGACATAACAACAAGTAATGTATTCAGACTGGATTCCAAGTATTGTAGTTCATTACCTCGACACTAGGTCCCCAGGAAAGAAACATCCATAGCTTTAAAGTAAACGGGTCTATTGCGACCCTAATGATGTAATGTAATCAGGGAGATGTCACTGACATCTCCTTGATGTAATGAAGCCAAGTGAAATTTTTGCTAGAGCATACTGTATGTTGGATCCCACAGTACACCATACTGTACACATATTTGTACATTTTATGACCAAATCAAAATATGGACTTACTTTTACATGTACAGTGTACATGTCAATTGTCAAGTTTGCAGTACCGGTATGTGTGCTGTATTTTCCATATTTGCCATATGGACAGATTTATTTATCAATTTTCAGTTTGCAGGCCTGCTATTTACGTGAGGTACAGGTACATGTACATGTAGATGATACGATAGCCTATATGTTTACGTGCAAGATGACTTGATATTGATACCACTGCAATACATGAAAATTCTAGGCCTCTCAAGCTTCCATTTCTATTAGGGCAACTCCACAATGGCAGTAACAGCTAGAATCACCTTTGCTTGGTCTGCATTGCGATATACAATGTACATGTACCGATACATGTTATATTCATTGTGTCAGTGTTAGAAAGTGACATTAGTATAGTAGGCCTACTGTGTTTTTTTCTTCACATGAAAGGCTTTTAGAGTTGAAAAGAAAATTGGTAACTGAATTAATCAATTGAGCACATTTGTTTTGTTTCACCACAAAAATGATTTAAAAAAACACACACATGTACAGTGTATACAAACAATGACAGACAGATAATCTAAGTTTTAAACACTTCAGTTAAAATTAATTGAAGGAATGTGTTGTGCCTATTGGTGGTAGAGACATTTGTTGCATGAAAATTAAGATTTATTGACTGAGTGAACTTTAAATGTGGCTTTATACCCAGTGGTAAGGGTAATTACTCCACGTACATGTAGATATACATGTACATGTACATGAGTACTTTTATTTTTATCAAAAATAAACTTGGGTTGTGGTAAGTATAGAAAAATAAATTCTTATAGAATCCATTGAATCCATTTCACTGGTTTGAACAACCAATCTACTGCAGGATAAACAATCCAGAATAAATCATAACATAGGGTAGTTTCATTTGACTTACTGGACATATCTGGGCTATTCTTGGGCTTATATATATATATATATATATATATATATATATACATGTATGTACAATAATATATTAAAATGAAATGGGTTTAGAAATTGTGGGATGTCATTGCACAATGTGTGTAGGAGTTCAAACCTCAAAGGAAAGAGCATCTATAAATGTGTAGGTGTACAGCTGTAAACAGGATGTTTGTATCTAGATCAATTCCCCCCCCCCTCTTTTCTTCTCCCACATTCCAGCGTGGTGTAAGTTATCAGCCAACTAAACTACAGTGTACCCATGAATGTAATGACACACCCAAACAAGAGACTCACCTCTCAAGTGTGTTTTTTTTTTTTATAAACTCCGCTGAAACTCTGTGGGTTTTTGCATTATGAATTTTCGCTCTTAAAACACCAGTGATTTGTACAGATTTTGGGTTGTTATGACAACATGTACAGTACATATTATGTATATGACTATCCTTACTTCTGCACTATAAGGCCATTAAAAAAATAAACATGTTTAGCATCCCCGCCCGCTTCCTTTGTGGGGGCTGCCTCCTAATTTTTTTGATTTTTTTTTTTTTAAAGAAAAAAAAACATGAAAAACACTGCCTAAAATGGATCTATTTCTAATTTTTTTCTTTTTATAATGTCGGCGGCCAACTTGAAAAATAGCCTGACTGTCAGGGGAAATGTACCGAGCAGCCATTTTGAGCGACCATTTTGAAAAAAAGAAAAAAAAGGGCCTCCTCCTTCCTATTTAAAAAAAAAGCAGGACGCTAAACATGTTTTTTTTTTTAATTTAGCCTAATGGAGGAGCAGTGACAAGTTGCACATGTGCATTCACAAAAACCCAGCATCAGAACACATGTACATGTACACTGTATATCAAACTTTCGAGGTAATGTACATTTTTCATGGCCTAACCGCTATTATACTTCTCATTTTACAGGAAACTATGTATGTACAGAAAACCAACGAATGTTCTCCGAGATGAGATGCCTGGTGTATCTATTCTGAAGCCTCTGTGTGGTGTTGATTCCAACCTCCAACCCAATCTGGAATCCTATTTCCAACTCAGCTATCCACGGGTAAGGCTTCTCATTTTTTAATGTTACAGTTGTTACATTTTATATTCTGGTATATTCTCATCTTTCATTACTCAGTTAATGACTCACAGATTACATCAATAACAAACTTTATGGGAAAGCCTGCCAGAACGACCTAGAATAGCATATACAACATTTTCCTGCTATACGTTGTACCGCAGGAAAATACAATTATTTACATGTACATGACACTAAAAACTTTACCCTAATTACCATTATATCCCACATACTAAGATTGGTCTTAAGAGGTCACATGATCAACGATAGATAAGTACTATCTTGCTGCGATAGGACTTTTGTACCGTAATTTTTTTGCTGCTGTCCCACTTGCCCATTGAATAAGCATAGCAAAGTAGGTTACGCGAAATGTCAATGTCAAATGAGCGCGCATCGACTGTACATGTACGTGTATTACATGTATGCATGTTGTGCTTTGTAAAATCTACATGTAGCTGAAGCTAAACTGTCTGCAGAATCAGTTGTTTTACTTTACTGGGTATGTAAAATGTACTTTAAATAGACCTTATTGCCGATGTGGGATATAAAATAAATATTAACCTCCTTTACTCGGGCAATGGATACAAACTATCATCGCCTCCGGTAATTGTAATGTTCATACTGTACATTAAAAGGTAATGGATAAGGCTACTAAAGAGTTTTTGATAGTAGTCCTTGGCCAGTCCTTTGTAGATTAATGGTTTACTATGGGTGCGTTTAATCGACACTTTTTCACCCTAGAATCACGGTTTCTAAAGACGTTTAGTTTAAAACGCAATGCGTTCAAGCGATTTTTTCGTCGGGCGTAAAAATAAACGTGTTTGAAAACACAAACATGAAACGCTGAAAAAGATGCGTTTTGTATCATGATTCTGCAGAATGACGGTCGCTAAAATTCGATTGAACGGACGGAGTTCTCAATCATGAGTGTATGACGGAGCCTGTTCCAGTTTGGGCAAAAACCGCGCGCCTGCTTCTATCTTTTTCTCTTTCTGTCTTTCCTTATGTTATTTTTTGTTTCTTCCTTGTATCACATTCTCTTTTTGTCTTTCATTATGTTATTCTTTGTTTCTTCCTTTTATTCTTATGTTATTCTTTGTTTTTTCCTTCTATCACCTACTCTTATGTTATTCTTTGTTTTTATAATTCTATCACTTTCTCTTTTGTAATTCTTTGTTTCTTCCTTCTATTATTATGTTAATCTTTGTTTTTTTCCTTCTATCAGCTTTTTGTAATGTAATTCTTTGTTTTAAGCATTGTATCACTTTCTCTTTCTGTCTTTCCTTATATTATTGTTTGTTTCTTCCTGCTATCGCCTTATCTTATGTTATTCTTTGTTTTAATCATTCTATCACGATCTCTTTCTGTCTTTCCTTATGTTATTCTTTGTTTCTTCCTTGTATCACATTCTCTTTTTGTCTTTCATTATGTTATTCTTTGTTTTTTCCTTCTATCACCTTCTCTTATGTTATTCTTTGTTTTTATAATTATATCACTTCCTCTTTTGTTATTCTTTGTTTCTTTCTTCTATTCTTATGTTAATCTTTGTTTTTTTCCTTCTATCAGCTTTTTTTAAATGATATTCTTTGTTTTAAGCATTTTATCACTTTCTCTTTCTGTCTTTCCTTATATTATTTTTTGTTTCTTCCTGCTATCGCCTTATCTTATGTTATTCTTTGTTTTAATCATTCTATCACGATCTCTTTCTGTCTTTCCTTATGTTATTCTTTGTTTTCTTCCTTCTGTCACCTTCTCTTATGTTATTCTTTGTTTTAATCATTCTATCACGATCTCTTTCTGTCTTTCCTTATGTTATTTTTTGTTTCTTCCTTCCATCACCTTCTCATTCTTTGTTTTATTATTGCGATCTATGCTCAAAACAGCAGTCGACAGTCGGCCGTAAACAATTCCAAAAAGCGCGCGCCGAAGTTGACCTATACTTCCTGGGTCAAACTGCGAGTGTGAGTCGCAGTGGCTGGGCTCGAAATGAGCTAGAATCAGCGTTGATGAAAAATCGCTTGAACGCTAACCGCAGTGACCTTGTTTTTTGTAACGACGTTTTGATTTGTGATTCATGTTTGTGATTCTAGCTTCGAAAATTTGATTGAACGCACCCTATAAATCATATACGCTATTTATACAGGGAAAGTGAAAGCTGAACAAAAACAATTGTCTACTGCACTTAACTATCTATAATCATATTAAATTAACCACACATGAGAAGCAATGAAAGTGGATCTTGTACTTAAAGACAAGTGGCCTATTTAAAGGCATCATTTATCAATTAAATCTGAGATGCTTGTGAGTACTTGTTATCAGTGTCTGTGATATGGTGTAATATTGAAGCCCTACAAATATCGCGCTTCAAAATGATCATGAAGTGCCTCAAAAAAGTAAAAATCTTTGAGTGACCGGTTTTACCATACTCATTTTCATCACTAGACTAGTGTTATTAAAACCGTTAGGATAACAAATTTTGAAATTTTGATTTCCAATCATAAATATCTTGATAATCAAACAGGCAATCGGCTTGTAAAAGTCTTTGGATTCCTGACTGACCTAACAGGTTTATAAATTGCAGCATGAGCTAACTCCAAGATTTTGTTTCAGAATCTGAGGCAATGTTACCTAGTCACTTTAAAGACAAGTGGCCATCCAGATTGGTGCTACTACAGTTTTACTTTCAATTTTTAATTTGGTTGATTCCGTGACAGAAGTGATATTAGATTTGCGCTTGCAGCACTCGCTCTGGGCTTTAATCCATCAAAGATATAGGGTTAAAAGCCTTGTTCAAATGTTCTACGGTAAACTACTGTATATTCATCCAAGTTTTTTATCTAGATGTAAAGTGTATTACGCCTCACCTTTTTGTACCTTATAACACAGAGCGAAGTGTAGGACCTTTGTTGCGCACATTTGCCATTTATTGATCCATTAATTTTTGTAATATTTTTTTAGGCGGCTTCATATCATAACTAGCTTTTAAAGGGATTGGGTATCTTTGCCTCAGATTCTAAACAAAATCCTGGATGTAGCTCATGCTGCAATCATAATTATAAACCTTTGAGTCAGTCAGGCATCCCAAGACTCTACAAACCGATCGCCTGTCTGATTATCAAGATATTCAGGTGGGCTGTATAACGTACAGACCACCTTATAATTTCGTTAGAATTGCCTTTATTATATATTTTTCTTATTTCTAACCACTTTTTTGTGAACAAGATAACTTGGAAATGGCTCAATCAAATGCCTAGAAATTTGGCACACATATGTATAGACATATGTACAAACACAATAACGTTTTCAACATTGACCTTCACTGATGACGTCATCTAGGCGCCATTTTGTAAAATTTTACGAAAATCAACTCATGATCATATCTTCATAACCAAAAGGTATTTCTCGTTCATATTTATCATGATCAAGGTCAATATCCGTCCGGTCAATGAAAGGTCAAATAACGCGCGCGTGCGCGTACGTCCGCGCGTCAATGCGCGCGCAAAATTTTGAAATGCTCAAAATCGTCTGAAAATCATTTTGCATACGTTTTAGCCCATTCTAAGCATTTTATAAAAAATCGCGCGTACGAGCATGCGCGCGCGTTTTCGCGCGTAAAACTTTTGCACAACATTGAATTGCCTTTTTTTTTTCTTTCATAATATACCACATATATTTACAAACATATTGATACCATGTTTGTCTCTTTATGACTATTAATAACGGAATGATCGACCGTTTAACATAAATCTCCATGCGCGCGAGCTCTTGTAATACATAGCATATATGGGCAAAAACACGCCTATACAAAATCCATTGTAGCTCTTTAGGATGCAAGGTGACCCCAATTTGTTTTCATATTTTAAAAGAGTATGATTCGGAAATATTGTTTCATGTCTCATTTGACCCTCAATTAACTCATGACGTCATCATAATGGCCTCCGAACTCAAAATTCCAATTTGCATATTATGACGTCAGCATATTTATGGAAAATTGATTGTATCTCTGTAAATATTGATCAATTTTCTTCCAAATTTTAATATGTTCTAGCTGAGACAAATTTCTACAAATGCAGTCAGTACTATTCTTCATTTTGACAAAGGTATCATGGCGTATTTTTGCGATTAAAGGAGGCATGTCAATTTTTCACATTTTGCGTGTATTCTCTATGGGACATGACTTTTTCTCAAAACTCGATTCTACATTCCCGTCTTTCGCGGGCAACATCTACGTCATTTTAGCTTCATTTACGCTGAACTTCGAGTATGATGTAGCTGAGACAAAAAGCTTTCTCAAATGTGCCCTTCATTTTGTCTAAAATGTTAGCTGGACCAGCCCACCTATACTTGTACCAAACAAGTATTTTACAAATCTAGTTAAATATTTTTCTTATTTCTAACCACTTTTTTGTGAACAAAATAACACAAAAATGGCTCAATCAAATGCCTTGAAATTTGGCACACATATGTATAGGCATATGTACGAAGCACAATAACGTTTTCAACATTGACCTTCACTGATGACGTCATCTAGGCGCCATTTTGTAAAATTTTACGAAAATCAACTCATGATCATATCTTCATAACCAAAAGCTATTTCTCATTCATATTTATCATGATCAAGGTCAATATCCGTTTGGTCAATTTCAGGTCAAATAACGCGCGCGTGCGCGTACGTCCGCGCGTCAATGCGCGCGCAAAATTTAAAAATGCTCAAAATCGTCTCAAAATCATTTTGCATACGTTTTAGGCCATTCTAAGCATTTTATAAAAAATCGCGCACATGCGCATGCGCGCGCGTTTTCGCGCGTAAAACTATTACACAACATAGAATCGCCATTTTTTTTTCTTTCATAATATTTCACATATTTTTACAAACAAATTGATACCATGTTTGTCTCTTTATGACTATTAATAACGGAATGATCGACCGTTTAACATAAATTTCCGTGCGCGCGAGCTCTTGTAATACATAGCATATATGGGCA